GTGTATCCGTCTTTCTGTCTGTCTTTCTCTCTGTCTATCTCTGTCTCTCTGTCACTTTTTATTTCTCTGTCTCTGTCTCTCCTTCCGCCTCACCTCCTCTCAAATAGCCATCTCTGTCCCCACTTCATACAAATACAAGCACGCTCACACAGAGAAACGCACTATCCTTTGCTAATATTACTAATAAAGGAGCTTATAAAGACAAAAAGTAGGTCCAAATTGAGATACAATTTAATGAAATCAGGCGCTGGTCAAAGTAATGAAATTGAAGAGAACGACAATTGCTTGCCAGTTTGGCAATTTCTTTCGATTTTTGTTTCGGCTCAACACCTTTCGTGTATACTTAAATCACCTTTCTGTGTAGATTGTACTGAAAAGCGTTGATAAACTAAAGGCACAAAAAATGCAAATTGCTATTTTCCAAGAACTCTCAAACTGTGGAAGTTACCAAACTTTGGCGACCATGTTTTACCTCTGGAAGCAGCGAACCCCCACCGTTTTCTGTCACGAGTATATTGTCTGTATTTAATTAAAAATAATAGGTATTTTTTTCATCGAATGTAAGAGAAAAAAGACAAGCTTTAAGATGATTCTATTAACTCCATGTGCCCAAGCACTGACGAGCGCCTGATTCCACCACGTTGTGACACGATTACAAGAAATCAAAACGACCGAATCCGTACTTTCAACATGAAGATGCGAAAATCCGAGTTGCGCCCAAGATGTATACGACACGGTTGCGTTCCCATTGGGTAAAGGTCCTCTCCGTTTTCGGAAGACTAGAAAGTAAGCAACAATGCAGACTATGACAAGGGAGAGAATCCCCGCTACACCCCAGGCAATGGCGACTACAGGCGAGCCCGAGTCCTGCGATCTGGGGGTTTTGGTTTTGAGAATCCAAATGTCGTCGACAGTGTACTCCACTCCGTCTACGACAAGGCTGTCAATGTCGCTTTTGTCTGTCACTTGTGATTCAATCCCTTGTGTGACGGGCTCACTCAGGATTATGTTGACAGTTACATTTATCCTGTGAAAGGAGTATTACACGGGGGAAAGTAAATAAACCTGAGCCTTTCATTCAGAAACTTACTTTAACTACTTCTACGCTCACCAGGGGCTCAACTATACGTAAACCCGAAAGTGGGTCATTGTGACCTCACTACGACCGTCAATTTTGTGTTATTTTAAGAATTGTTGGTTCAAATTGATTTTTTGAGAACGCAGTGCCAGGTGAAAATGGCGATCATTTTGTGATCGTGTACACATTGGTAGAATTCAGTCTCTTGTATTTTCCTTCCAACTTCAGAAAACTTTAACAAATCATAAACTTGTAGACTTATGTTATTCGATTTAATTCACAAAGTAAAGAAAGCTTTAAATAGTCATGTTTGCTTAACAGTTTTTTTCGGGGGACAAGTGACACTGGTAAGCATAAAATCCCAATGTCCATTACAGCAGTTCACATTTAGAGCACACCCCCCCCCCCCCAAAAAAAAAGAGTAAAAAATAAAAACAATAAATAAACAACAAAAACTTACTCATGTCTGTGGTCCGTCCTTACTACAAAAGCAACGAATAAGTGAATTGTGTTTACTGTATGCCGTAAAGGGGTTACAATTATACATCGTACCGTATTTCCAGCCTCGTGATGACACACAATTGTGGAATCTTCACTACCCATGATTATATATTTTCAAACGTCTATGTCACCTCAGAATCACATCAACTTCAGTGTAATCAAGACATTTTAAAAGTACTCAACTTGAGTTCTTTCCCCCGTGAATTTCAACTCAAATTGAAAATCGAAATAACAAACTTTGAAAGTATTTTTTTCTAACGAGGTTTATTATAATGTTTGAGTTAAAAAGAAATGATTTTTGGAGCACAGCATCAGCAGACAACAGGATTTAAGAAAACTTCAAGTTCGTTAAGATGGTACAATGAAATGCTCTTGACATCCTGCATTCTCAATGTTTTTCTAACACTCTAATGTTACATGAGTCTTTTACGACGACCTGTCAAGTATAACACTACTGTGTCTGAGGTTTCATAACATTTCCGACACCTCTATGATTCATTTGTGGGCGTGCCAGTTCAAAGGTACTGCAAGACGCATTAACTCCAACTGATATATAAGGTAAAAAGATTTAAAATCGATTTTTAAAACACAAATTGAGTTCCATTTGAAATGGGTTCTCTAGATATTTATTTACCAATCTGTAAAAAGTTTTGTGTTTATTCTACGCTAAAATAAGTATATCTTTGAAGATTTTTTTGGGGGGACACGACCCTTCCCATCTAGTGGCAGAATTGCCGGAGAACATTTGCTGTCAGAACGCACAACATTGAAAACCATTTTAAGTTTGTTACCTTACTCCATCTGGGAAGTGCGCACTAGTGTAACAAAACATCCATACATCTATTCAACAAAATTCCTAGTATTGGCATTGAAGAAGATTTGTATTGCTCATTCATAAAACATTCAACCCCTTAACATGGCATTTTCAAAAGTAGGCCAGCTTGTATCCTTTCAATTGCCACGCAGCGCGCATGAATACAATGATATTCTAGTAAAGAAAGGAAGGGAGGCTTAATGTATTGTACCCTCCAACACTTCCCGAGCAAAGCCAAATCGATTTGGAGAGATTTTTAGGTATGATTAACTATGTTCCTTTTTTTAATTAAAAGTTTAAATGACACTTTGAAACAGCCTAATTGTCTAAAATTGCTTCTTTTTTAAAAGTTGCACTTTGCGTAGTAACAGTCACAGCTGTCAACGGCTTCAGAGACACACAACACGGCTGGCCCATTGTTCAATATTAATTAGGCTGAGGAGTAGAACTCAGTCCACATATAAGGAAAACTTAAAAGACATTTTTCCAAAAACTTTGTTTCCGTAACCTACTTGTCAATATTAACCAGATCAAACAAAATACTAAATCTATCTTTTAAAAACATAATTTAAAAATGTTAATAAGTTGTTTAAAAATGATTTTTTGAAATTAGAAAATGCAATAAAATACTTCGAAATGTGTCATACACGCACACATTTTCTTAAAACGTGACTATAATAGGCTTAAATTATATTATCCTAGATCGGACACTGTGATGGTCGCCACAATTTCGCTGGTGCAAAGCATGCGAGTAAAAAAAGAAAGGCAAAACGCCTAACACCCAGTCGAGTACGGACGCAACTGTCCCATTTTTGCGCTTTATTAAGTTTTAAACTTTCCATGATGACCCAGAAATACGTTTAAAGTATTATAATACAAGTCAATGCACAAAACGCACAAAGCACTTTGAAACTCACGTAGTACCAATAGCTAGTATTATAATTTCAAAGTGTATTATTAAAAAGAAACACAAACAAACACGAATGAAAGTAAGTTTTTAGAAATGAACGTAAGCAATCAAACACCAAGAGCAACAACAAATATCACAAAGAGGGGAGCACAGCAACAACAACAAAAATGATACAAAAAAACAAAACAAAACTTACGTGGAATCACTTCCGCGTCTGCAAATATAAAGAATTATTTTAAGGTTTTTAAAATTTCAATTCCAAAATTTTTATTATCTCAGCGATATAGTGTCAAGAAAGATGTGTGTGTGTGTGTGTGTGTGTGTGTGTGTGTGTGTGTGTGTGTGTGTGTGTGTGTGC